TTTGAAATTGATGAGTGGCTTGAGTTCTAAGAATCTGCTCCAACCGTTTCTGTTTCCTCGCATCGCAAAACAATTCCACATGCTGTCCATAAAAGCAGTAATAAGAAAAGAAAAGAGGAAGAAAATCCAGATCAGATATTATCTGACATGCAAACAAAGAGGAAGACATCCAGATTAGATTTATCACCTTGCACACTGAAAGCAGATTACTTTGATAGTCAGGAGGCAATTCTGAGATGTTAACACATAAGTATCACAAAAACACAGAGAAAATAATTCGTGAAGGCCTATAAGGTTAGAACAGCAGCAGCAATATCTAAGCTAAAGCCGTCAGCAAGTAATTGACAGATACAGATTTTAGTGAGCAAACAATGTATAGGAGAACTAAGGTCAAATCTGGCATTGTAAAATGGCTGATAACTTTCCCAACTATTATTGGCTCGTGTCCGCAAAAGAGGAAGAAAATTTTTTTTTTTTTTTTGGTCAATGAAAATTTTTATTCATTACCAAGGTATGAAATGAATTACATATTCCTAAATAGCAATCAGAGCTGAATTAGCTCCAGTCCCTCAGTGCCAATCTCTCTATGTGTTCCTTTACATGAATTGGATTATTTACATTCAGTAGCTTAAGAGTATAAACTGATTTTTAGTGCACGAAAGAAGAGTGTCAGAAATCACGTGGCACGTCCTCGGGAAAATCCTGAAATTTCCTCTCCTGCGCAGAGTATATATACTAGATGCTGATAGAACCATCCTTTTAAGCTTTGCTTTAAACCCAGTCCCTTTCAAACTCATGCTAACCAATCTGAAAGATGAAGCAGTCCTACCGTCTTCCAGTTGAAGCCAATCCAGTCGGCATTGCTTTTATTCCATGGACATGTCGATGAGTTATGAACATTCAAAGAATAATGTTTGCAGGTTTCTCTTTGATTAGGCATCAGAACAATAGAAACATCTGATTTGAATTAAGTATCTCATCTTGGGCAAAGGCTCGTCTTGAGTTAATATCTGAGATGGAAGCCAACCATAATATGAAGGAATGTTTAGGATAGTGCAACCACCGCCAAATAGTTCCTGATAATGGTGCTGAAGGACCGTGGCTGGTTGAGACTCTTATATCATTAGAGAGATACTGAATTTATCTCCAGTGGCAGGGCAATTATTGATGACGAAATCAGATTATCAGTGTTATCAATTTCAAAATCTAACAAATCCCTTACTTACTTGCAGAAATTTGTTTCGGTTGAAGGTTAATTTGGGGAGGGGAAATTTTTTCAGGAACTCCCTCTTTTAAAGGGTAAATAGATTTATATATCATAAAGTTTTAAAAATGTACACTTTTGTACCCTAAAGTTTCTAAAGTTTGCACTTAAATACCCTCAGTTATGCAAACTTGAGAGTATTTAAGGGCAAGTTTTGAAAGCTTTAGGGTACTTAGTGCACATATTCAAAACTTTAGCTAACCCTTCACAGGAGGTTAAAAATAATTTAGTTCCATTTGGATTTGATAATTAAGATGAATGGTGAAGTTTTTTGTATTTAACAAGTAAAGAAGGGTAAAGAAAACTAGTTGCCATAAATATCCTAAAATATATTCCTTTTTAAAAATTTTATTTCCTATTTTAAGAGGGAGTAACTCTTAATCCTCCTCTATAGGTGGATGTGTTAACCCCTCTAAATAAGGGGTTAATTGACTTTATCCTGTGTAAAGGGTTTGTTAATCCTTAGACCAAATTAACTCATTTGGATGGTTGAGGAGGGTTAAAACCCCTTTAACCCTTCTCTCAACTCCTAGCCCAACGGGGTATATAAGTGCGGGCAAAAGCAAGTAAGGGTATATAAGTGCAAAGTAAGAGAAACCATAAGGTATCAATTAAGTGCAAAGAAGGAGAAACTATAAGGCCCTATTTGGCAAAGGATTAAGGAATAGAGAATGAGAAGGATTAACATAATTAGTTCATTCGATAATCCGAGGGATTTAATTATTAACCCGTGATATAAGTTTTATTTTATCCCTTGTGATCATTTTTAATGTTTGGGAATAACAAAATTTTGACTATTTTCTTTATAATTAGAGGCCCCGTTTGGTAAAGGATTAATGAAGAGGGATTAAAGAGAAGGATTAACATAGTTAGCCAATTCGATAATCCAAAGGACTAAATTATTAACCCGTTATATAATTTTTATTTTAACCCTTATAATCATTTTTAGTGTTTGGGAATAATAAGAATTTTGGCTATTTTCTTTATAATTAGAGGGGTTAGCTCTTAACCCTTCTAAATAGGAGTATTAGTAAACCCCTCATTTTGAGGGGTTAACTCATTTTAATCCCTCTAGAGGGGTTAGTTTAACCCTTCTATATTTTTTATGTTTGGCAAATTATGGAGGGTTAACTCGCTTTAACCCTTATATACATTTTTTTGTGTTTGGCGGGTTAAGAAGGGGTTAAATCTCCTTAACCCCTCACTTAACCCTTTGCCAAACGGTACCTTAGCGTTTTTAATATTTGATAAAAGTTAACTGTGGTGATTCTTAATAGGGTGCTGCTATATGGACCCCAAATAGGGAACCCAAGGGGGGACATGTGAGGTGTCCCCCTCGGAATGCATGATGCACTGTTCATGCATTTAGAGGGGGACACCTCACCTGCCCCCTGTTTCCCTTATTTGGGGTCCCTGAGGCATTTTTGTTCTTAATATTACATTCGTCATCAGATTTTGTTGACGTGACAATGATCTGGCACTGTCATGTTTAGCAAAAAAATTAGTGAAATCACAAGTTCAACATACACGTTTGTATGAAACTTACAACTAATTTTTGCTAACGTGTCAGCCACGTGATCTCGTCAACAATATTTTACAGAAGTTTGCAAAAAAGAACATAGATTGATGACAATGATAATATTAATGACTGTGTGGTTGATGATTTCTAAATATTAATGATCCGAAACGATACTTTGGCTAGCACATAAGGGGCCTACAACAAAGTTTTGCCAAAAATCTATATGCATTATTAGATTATCCATCATTATTTTAAGTCTAATTTCTAGTTAAGTCCAATTTGATTTATGTTAAGTCTAAATTTACAGAAAATCCTCAGCATTAAAAAACAACAAATTATACTCAACCCTAATAACTTACACTAAACTCTCAACAAACCTAGATCTACCCTAACAAGCAAAAATTAGGATATATAAGCAACGCTAAAACGAGTGAGTGTTTATAAGTGCAAGTTTTGAAAACTCCATTAAGAGTATATAAGTGCTGACACAAACAAGTGAGGGTATATAAGTGCAAAATAGAGAAAACTAGACGATATTTAAGTGCAATTAAGCCATTCGAAATTAGTCACTCAAATCATTTAAATTGCTACTACATCCTCCGAAGTATCCTAATTTGTAAATTCAATGATTCAAGGGTCTAATTTAATAATATTAAAGGTGTGAGGGAGTCAACAGGGACTACCATCGCAACAATACTAGCAAATACTTTGCATAAACCCTAGAAACCCCCCCCATTTGGATGGTTGAGGAGGGTTAAAACCCCTTTAACCCTTCTCTCAACTCCTAGCCCAACGGGGTATATAAGTGCGGGCAAAAGCAAGTAAGGGTATATAAGTGCAAAGTAAGAGAAACCATAAGGTATCAATTAAGTGCAAAGAAGGAGAAACTATAAGGCCCTATTTGGCAAAGGATTAAGGAATAGAGAATGAGAAGGATTAACATAATTAGTTCATTCGATAATCCGAGGGATTTAATTATTAACCCGTGATATAAGTTTTATTTTATCCCTTGTGATCATTTTTAATGTTTGGGAATAACAAAATTTTGACTATTTTCTTTATAATTAGAGGCCCCGTTTGGTAAAGGATTAATGAAGAGGGATTAAAGAGAAGGATTAACATAGTTAGCCAATTCGATAATCCAAAGGACTAAATTATTAACCCGTTATATAATTTTTATTTTAACCCTTATAATCATTTTTAGTGTTTGGGAATAATAAGAATTTTGGCTATTTTCTTTATAATTAGAGGGGTTAGCTCTTAACCCTTCTAAATAGGAGTATTAGTAAACCCCTCATTTTGAGGGGTTAACTCATTTTAATCCCTCTAGAGGGGTTAGTTTAACCCTTCTATATTTTTTATGTTTGGCAAATTATGGAGGGTTAACTCGCTTTAACCCTTATATACATTTTTTTGTGTTTGGCGGGTTAAGAAGGGGTTAAATCTCCTTAACCCCTCACTTAACCCTTTGCCAAACGGTACCAGAGAGGTTAACTCTTAATCATTCCAAATAGAAGTATTAGTAAACCCCTCATTTTGAGGGGTAAGTTCATTTTAATCCCTCAAGAGGGATTAGCTTAATCATTTTGTATTTTTTGCGTTTGGCAAATTATGGAGGGTTATAAGTCCACTTCACCCATCACTTAACCCTTTGCTAAACAGCACCTAAGGTATTTAAGTGAAATTAAGTGAAATAAAGGCAAAAATTAAAGATAAATTAGACTTTCCTTGTGTTTTGTCATCCGTGTTCCCGATGAGCAGGATTGTTGACCAGTTCCCCTACCTGGTTTAATTAAACAAGGAGGAAAGCAAATAATGATTCTACTATTTTGACAATGGGAAATTTCCAATTTGGAACGGTAATTAACTCCTCAGAAATCTCAATGAAAAAATATGTGAAATGCTTGTAGACTTCCCCATTCGTACCTGATCCCCTCTTCTTTTCCAGTCTTTTCCCAAAATGTTAACAGAGGTAAAATAGTTTTTAAAATTTTAATAGTTCGCCGCTTGAGTATAAAAGTGAATGAAGAAAACAAATTGGCCCAGAAATTACTAATTATAATGATCTGGGAAATAAAATTTAAAATGTCTATAGTATGCCACAGTACAAAATTTTATATAATATAAAATTTTATTATTAAATAGGTAAAAATGACAGGGAATGATACATCAAGGTAATACATTCTGCCTTCTATGCAAAATACAACAGTATCACAGTTTGATTCAATTTCCCATTTTTGAATAATATTCAGTAAAAATATGAATGAACATCTCTCAATCGTATATTGTTACAGCAAGCAATACAGATTCAGTACATTTACATTAAATGAGGGTTGCAACTTCTAAGTTGCATCCCAAATTATTCTCATCCTAGAAATTTATCGGACAACTCATGTTACAAGAGCTTATATCGTCCAAAAAACCAATATTTAGAACTACAATCACAGTCAATACCCATCAACAACCAACTAAAGCACTGTACAACACATCAAAACTGTGATCTTCTTCACCTCCTGTGAGTGTGCATCACTCTCGACGTTCCTTCAAAAAGATCCAACAAGCATCTCTCAAGATCTTCAGGACAGTATTTTATGTAACTATCGCGATGTCTCACCCCATCAAGATGGCTTGCATACCTCCCCATGAATGTTCGATAAGCTTGTAGCACCTTCAATGATATCGATATCTTCAGATCATCTCTGAGCTCGATATTTGGAATGTTCCAACCTGTTTGCGCCCTGTAAACCTCTTCAAACGCGAGGTTAAAACCTCTGAACCTCTCCTTCAGAACTGTCCTTGAAGGAGAGCTCGACCCATGGCTACATATGCCTTCGTCCTTGAGGAAAGAGAGAACCGAGATCCACGAAGCCCGTTCATAGTTCATAGCATGCTGACGAAATTTTCTGCTGTATGCGCGAATCCAATCGTCACCGAGGATTGAACGAAGGTCAGAGTTCTTTACCTTCTGAACTATGTAACATAGGTTGTTCATCATGTATAGATGCTGGAGAGCTGTATCTGTATATAGCATTGATCTAGCTTCAAGATTGGCTTCGAGAATCAAGACAATCGATTGGAGATGATGCATCATTGGAGCAGAAGAATTAGGGCAGTCCTTTTCATCTTCGTCATTGAGAAGGAGATTTAGGGTTCCACTATAATCAGCAAGGGTCCTCATATAATTCATGACATATTTTGTGAGATGATGGACTCCACCACCAGGAAAAGGGGTATTTGATGTTTTCTTTCTTATTGCATTCTTGAACTCGGTGAAAATTCCAATTATAAATTTGCTCAATCTTAGCAAGACCTCGTGGCACTCCATCAGTATCAAAGAACCAGAATCTCCCGAGTACAAGGATTCTACATCTGCAAGAAGATCTTGCAGCCCCTCATACATATCGAGGATTCTGAAGAGCTTTTCAATCTCCACGGGTCCAATTGCAATGGCTTCACCCAAATTGAGAAATCGGAGAATTGATCCCTTTGAGGATTCAAGGAAGCAGTAATCTCCGACAGACTCAGAACATTCACCAAAGATTAAATCACTAAGTCGCCTCTCACTAGCAAGATATACTCTTATGAATACTTTCAATGCTCGATTCCATCTTTTGATCAGAGTATTTAACGCAGTCCAGTCCAATTGGATGACTTCTTCAATGCTCAGCCTCTCCACTCGAAGAATCGATAAGCAATCATCCAATGCCTCCCTTCTAACAGCTATAAAAGCTTGACAACACTCCTTGTCATACTTTGAAAGAAACATCAACTCCGCTATGGTTCTAAGCTCAAAAACAGCATCTGGGTGGATCAAATCGATCACAAACTCTTCTGAACCCCGACTGCTCTCAGTCCGTATCTTCCCTTGAATTGGCTCCTCATCAAAAGAACTCGATGAGAAATCATCGACTAGTTCATCTTCCGTAGAACGGAATGACATATGATCAGGTTCCAGAGGTTGTCGGTATTGAACTAGAAGGTGGATAAACTCATCCTCAAGCCTGGACATAGCTGACTGAAGAGTGCTGTGGGCATGACACAGGATCTCTTTTTGTTCCTCTCCCAAGTTTTCAGTAAACAGGCGAACTTCATCCACAATTCTCAAGAAGAGAGCAGCTTCCTCCGGATCTCGATCCCATATCATTGATTGATCAGAATCCCAATTGACGATCATTTCGTGTAAGATGCCAAGGCGCTCTTCAGTGCAACCTAATCCTCTTTCTTCTGCAAAAAAATCTCAGTGTTAGACATGATTCACACCATCTTAAACAACTCCATCATTCTTGCTTACTGATCTCTCTTATTCACACAAGAAGAAGGGGGAAATTCTACAAATATGATGATCAAGGAGTTGATTATTAACACAAATTAGAATAAATTGAAACTCTATGAATTACTTCTAAATTCAAGAGACAATGAAATCAAATATTGGCTAAAAGCTAGTAGAGAAACAAAAATACCCATAACTAAAACTAAGAACAAAATCCAGGGGAAAAAAAATCCAAAAAAACTATTATTCACCCAAAAAAAAAGAACCTAAACTACTTGATAACCAGTTCAAACCAACTGCCTCATGTATACGTGACATGGTTCATGATAAGACAATAAGCCAATTTGCGGTATAGGGTTAGATCAAATAGAGGAAGAAACCTTAATTAGAGACGAAGATATCCACAAAGACAAGGTTTTTAATGTGGGGTACAACAATTATTTACCCTGATTAGGGTGAAATTAACAAAAATTAAGAGATTAAAGCAAGAATTTAGAAAGATAACTGACCAGAGGCATCTCCTTCAGCCCCCATGGCGATTCCTTTTGCCCTTCCACTTTCTTCTCCTCCTCTTCTTCTTGATGATGTTTGTTTCTATTGTGCTGTTTGACTACTTCAAGTCAGACCTCCCTAGTTGTAAACAACCCCCTTCTGTTGAACTTTTTCTCATCAGACCCTGTGAAAAAGATATTTCCCGTAAGTTTAATTATTGCATTTGTTACATAATAAATTGAACAAGGTGTCTTGTCCACTATTGAACCAAACACCCCCTAAACGAATCTTATTCTTTCATTCAACTCTATTTGCCCATTAGTTGTTGATTATTACAATATTTTTTAATTGTTTGACTAATTTCATTGATTTTCTTTGTTTAATAATTTTTTTTTTGCTAATTCTTTGTTTTAATATTATGTCTTTGATGTACAAACAGACTCGATGATGGTGAAGTTCTTCAATCATAAGGTTGGAATTATATCAATAATTAAAATTTCGAAGAGATAAAAGTTTGCAAGAAGGGAGCAAGTCGCCAAGCTAATGGTGCCAGCCAAAATTTTCGAAGGACTAAAGTATAAATGACCCTTATCAGATGGGACTACGTACTGGGCCCGCAAAAATAAGTAAGTTGTTGAAACAGTTGGTTGCATTTATTAGCAATTGCATCAATAAAATTGGAGTTATTTTAATAGTCATTGGATCGATCTATAAGACGACTCTGATTAATTACAAACGGTACCGGTCAATTCAGTCATCGTTTGGACTTTGGAGGGTCTAAGATGGCGCCCGTGACCTGGCCCCCCTGGTTCAAGGCCGGGCCGGGCCTGATTCAGGTCGGGTCGAGTCAGAATGAATTGTACTTACTTCTTTGATCATGAGACTGAGACTGAGACTGGACTAGTAAGGTTTACGATCTGTCTAGGTGTGCGCCGGGTTTGACTCGGCTCATGACCCGTGGGGTCGTGGGTCGGCCCACGGGTTTTTCGTTCAACTTTTTTCCTATTTTTTTTACCTTTTTAATTATATAAACTTGTATTTACAATTATAGAATTATTTCTAATTTATTTTTAGTAATTTAAACTTGTATTAAACTATTTTTAACATTGTATTAAACATTTTAATCCTTCCAAGTAGACAGTAGCAAACTTAAACATCACTGCTTTGTTTTTCAATAGGCCAAAAATGCTCATGAGTTAAACACGTATGACCTTTTGGATTTGTTGGCATCTAGCTACAGACCCAAAGGGTTAAAGAAACATCTAGATTAACTAAAAATATATCATGGGGCAAGGTGGGTCGGGCCGGGGCAAGTCGGGCGTGGGCCAGGACAGCGTGGGCCAGGCCTATACTTCTTTGACCCTGGGTCTGGGGCTGGATCCGGTCCGGCCCGTGACCCAAGTATATCATAGGCCGGATCGAGCCCAGCCCACTAAGGACCCAGCTGGATCGTGACCCACGGTGGGCTGGGCGACCCGGCCCATGCCCAACCCTAATTTTAGGGAGTGTTTTGACAACTTCGTAAAATTGGGCCAAGAATGAACCATGCCCAATTTTGTGTTGTTTCTTGTTTGTCAAAATTCTGGACTGGATCTGATCCTATTTTTTATGCTAAAATAGTGTCACTAAACTAGTTTTGTTCTGGGCCATGAGGGTCTGATTCAAAACAAAACTAGTTTAGCATAAAACTAGGTCAGAACCAGTCCTGACCCAGTTTTGCTCCGTTTGCCAAACTGACCCATACCTTAGAAAAATATCTTCGGTGCATTCAGATCATTAGGGAGAAATTGGATGTACAATATGTCAACATGACATCAGCCCATTATTCATTCTGTTATAATCATGAGATAAACAAATAAAATGAATAGACTTATTAGCACTGTTAGGTTGGACCATGACCAGGACTCATGGACCAGAATGCAAAGGTCTATATTCTCATGACGTTTGTTCCCACTTTTTTTTTCTGTTGAATTTGCATAAAGAGAATAAAACTACACTTAATTATTGATAATCTCCAACGCTCTTCAAGTGTTATTTATTTATGTTTATTTCCCTAATGTGCATCATCGTCATCATTATCATCTTGATGTCTGCTGCTTTTTTCATAATAAAATACACTTGATAATTAATAGTCATCAACACTGTCAGGTTGTTTGTTGGAAGCCTTCTTTATCCTCATCAAACACCCTACATGCAGTGAAATTACTTTCTTTTGTGGGAAAGGTCCGAAAAAATTTTTCCTAGATTATATATAAATATTAGAAGAGATATTTTTTCCCTGCTTCTTTCATAATAAACCCTCGCTCATCCTTAGAGCAAGTGCATCAAGCTCCTAGTTAGGAGTCCTAGTCACCAAGCTCTCAAGATCTCTCAAGCATTTTAGAATAAAAAATTAAAAAAATAAGCCTTGGGAGGCCCTTCTTCTTTTATGGAGCTCCAACAAGCTCCTAGTTAGGAGCTCCACCAATATCAAAAAACCCCTCTTTTATTTTAATATTTTACCCATTACTCAACAGTCATTTTTCAACTCTAATTGCTCATTTATTTCATTTACCAGATCTTTGTATCTATTCTATTTTATTAAATTATTAAAAAAAACAAACAAAAGAGACTGAGCCACTTAAAATTCTCATCAGGAATACCAAGCCCCTTCTCATCTCCCCTCATCTCAAAAGAGACCTCTTCATATCCCTAACCCCCAAACCCAGACCTTGAGACCTCTTCATCTCCCGTCGAATCAAATCCACGCATCTTCATCTCCCGTGTCAAAGTCTCTATTTTGCCGAGGACTTGTCGATCGAAGCTCAGGCCTTGCCGATCGGAGAGGGGATGACTTGCCGATCGGAGATGGTCTATCAGGTTAGAACTGGTCAAAGTCACTATTTTGATTAATCGAGCATTCTTCATTTTGGAAAAAGTTAGATTTTTTGCTTCTTTTTTTGGGCAGATTTTGATCACTCTGCAATTGTGTTTTTTTTTTTTTTTTTGGGGGGGGTGGGCGCGGGGTGTTAGTAAATCTTGCCACAACTTGGGAGCTCTTCAAGCGCTCCACAAATTTGTGGAGCTCTTGGAGCTCCCAAGCTCTCAATGTCCATGTCAGCCTAAGGAGATGGCTTGGGAGCTCCTTGGCGAGCTTGCTTGGAGAGGTTGCAAACTCTCCCACCGCCACATAGGCCTTGAGAGGGGGCACAAGGAGAGCTTGCTGCCCTTGCTCTTACTACAACAACGACTGCTTCATGTGTGCTTCTTCCATGATCTCGATATTTTCTGCCTTCTCGATCTTTATGGTATCTGCTATGCTTCTCTAAGTTCTCTTCACCGTACTTATGCCTGGGATGATCTTTCTTGTTGCCTTTTTGTTGGGTCTTTACTTTTTGTTTGTCAGTACCATTCTATATCAAATAACAATATTCTTGCAGTGAAATTTCTTTGTATCGTGAGAGAGGTAGAGCCGTAGAGGTCATTTAATTAAAAAAGCAAAAGGAAGATAGTATACATATTAAATAATAGACTAGATGAATTTTCCCTGTTTATTCGGAAATAGAGACCAGATATGATCATCTCCATGAGTTGGTTGCGGTTTGGAGTCTTGCTGACAATCACGAGCACAATTTCCGTAGCCCACACTTGAAGCAGCCACCTAGCTAGAAACTAGAAACGGAGCATCTGCAATAATGAAATTTAGGATGGTTGTCGATGCTTACATTTAGAAGGGAAATTCCCTGAGGGTCTAAACCCATGGGATAGGGGAGGGGACATGTGAGGTGTCTCCTTCCTATTGCTCCATGCACTGTTTATATGCATGGAGCAATTAATGGGGAGGAGACACCTCACCTGTCCCCTGGATTTAGGTTCCTATAGCATTACTCCATTTAGAATCTTAAAAGCAGCATCCTAAATGCAGCGTTATCAACATTTAACTGATAAAAAAAGTAAATACAAAACAAACATATGCAAGAAACCTGAACTGTTTTAGTGTCATGACATCGGGATGCAGCTGAGGCTATACTTTAAAGCAAGCGTTAAGTGTTTTTTTTTTTTAATTTTTGAAAAGAACACTTTCATTAATGTTCTCCACACACGCACACAATTCATGAATTTAGGTTAATTTCACAAAACCCTCCTAATCTTTGTATATCTCACATAACTACCCCTCGAACCATGGGATGTCTCACTAACCCCCACCAAAATTTTAGTTAGTCTCACCCAACCCCATTGAATGTAATTTACAAATAACTAAAAATTTATCGACATGAAAAACTCAAACTGAGGGAAAGGAGTATGTTGCATGTAAATGATGCTAAAGTTTAGGAGAAACATTTAGTTGTTTGCAAATTACAGACATAGGGGTTAGGTGAGATAAATTAAAGTTCAAGGAGGTTTTGTGAGACTCCTATAGTTCAAGGGGGTTATATGCAACACCCCAAAGTTCAAGGGGGTTTGATGAAATTAATCCTTAATTTATTTCAAGTTGTACCATGAAATTCAGAGTTCATGACACTTTCTTGAATTTACCCTTTAAAATAATCCCTTAATGACTCCTAGTACCAGGTCTGTATTGGCTTCAAATTTTGGCAACCGTTTGACTGAAATCCACATGTATTCTTCTATCATCAATAACTATATTGTCCATTTGTTTGATTAAAAGCAGTGGATATAGTCAAGGCCATGATTTGATAACTAACAGACTTTCAATATCGTACTGAAAGTGATAATATACATATACATACTGCTGCTGCACTTACACCATATATAAAAGAAGAAAGAGATGGGGAACTTATAGATTACAAGCTATAAGTGAGTTGGATTATGATGGTTTCCTAGTATTCATACCTTTTTTAGAATAATGTAATTATAGAACTAAATGCAAATACGAAACTTATGAAAGATCGTTACTCCCGCAGTATGGAAAAACAGAAGTTAATTCCCTAAAATAAGTAATGATGTGTTGCTTTAGGGGTTGTTTGGTTCGCTATTATAAGGGGTGGAAAACTCAGAAAACCCCTCCACGTCAGATTTTTAGCCCTCCACGTCAGCTTTTTTGTTTCCGTCCATTTCTTTGTGCCGCTTTGGTTCGCTCGAATGGAAGAGGGAAAACTCTGCTGAAATCGCCGCCAACT